AATATTTGATTTAAATTATTATTTATTTCATGATATAATAGTATTAGTTAAATTTATAATATTTAAATTTAAAAATATTAATATATATATATATTTCACTTTTTTGATAATCGTAATTTAAAAAACATTTTTAACCAAACACATAAATTATTTTTTTATTTAATCTTAATTTTAATTATAGTTTTAATTAAATATATATTTTTTCAAATTAATTTTAATTAAAAATATTTTTTATGAAATATTTTTTTTTCAAATGTAGTAAAACATATTTAGAGAAAAATTAACTTGAAAATTTCAGGGAAACCTGCGCAGCATAATCCAAAGCCACGGAAAGACTACAAGTAGGCTCTTCAAAGAATCTTCTGATATTGCAAGTGAGGATCTGGCTTAGTGGTGGGAGGGGCTTGTCCTCTTTCTCCATATCTGAGTTTGAACCTTTCCATGCACGCCTGTTATCTTCGTGGTGCCTTACCTGCTCATTGGGCTTGCAGGATATTCAGTGGACCGTGGGGATTAGTTGTGGTGCGCGTAAGCTGGCCCGAACACTCCACGTAAATAAAAAAAAGAAAGAATCTTCTGATGTTTAAGCTCGTGCTGCACACAACAGCTTCTGTAATGGAGATAACAAAATAAATCCGATTAAGGCTGTCATTACACATTGCTAAGCAGTACTATGATTTAGGTAAGTATTTAGAAGAATTTATTCTTCTAATACATCAAATTATATATTTATACTTGAATGGAGAGGGAATTTAAATTCTGCTTGATATTATAATAGTAATTATTTTTTTAAATTATTTTTTTTATTTTTAAATAAATTAAAATAATATATATTTTTTTAAAAAAATTATTTTTAACTTCAACATATCAAAATTATCTAAAAACATTAAAAATATTAATTTGAAATGAAGAAAAAATAAAAATAAAAATTAATTTTTTCAAAAATATTTTTAAAATGCAAAAACAAATAAGTTTTTAATCTTGATGATTCTCAAATTAATTTGATAATACTTTTATATCCAATTTGTTTTTGAATAATATTAGACATAAACTAGTTTGAAAAATAAATTAATTAAAAAAAAACTATACAATTTCAATTTGATTTGATGAGTTATGTATCAAGCCGATCAAGCTTATGAGCTTTTAATTATGTACCTTATTAGTATCATTAATATTTTTTAGTTAATTATGTATCTTGATTAGTGTTATTATTTTTTTTTTTTAGCATACACAGGCAAGTCTATTTTATTTTTCTATTTTAATTTTTTTTAATATTTAGAGATCAACCAAGATTTTCAAAAGTATTGAAAATAAACTAGTTTGAAAAAATAAATAATTATTTCAATGCATTTTTAAATAAAAATACTTTAAAAAATAATTATTATTATAATACCAAACATATTCTAATTAAAAATTGAATTTGACAAACTAAGTAACCATGAATTTGGTTATCACACTTAGATTTGATCCAAAAATCATAAAATTAATCAAGAGGGAAGTTGTTAGAAAAAGAAGATGGAAAGACACATATTTATGCATGATTATTATTTCAGTTACTTTCTCAGAATTAGATATTGGCGGGAACCAATTTAGAACAGAAACGCTGCGTTTCACCGACATATATATAAGGAAAAGAACGACGCGTCATCTAGTGTGATCGGCATCCACTGTCCGGAAAAATAAAATTCCAAATTTGAGTTACAGAGCTAATTCAACAAAACCCTAGCTAGCCCAAAAGTCACCAGCATGAACCAGAAGATGAAGACTAACAATGAGAAGAAGAAAAACATGGAGTTCGAATTCTGCAAAGCATGTAATTTGAATCACGATCAAGGCCAAAACCACAAGTACTTTCCAAACCACAAAAAATCACTCTCTAATTTCCTCTCTCGTTTCCAAACCAAACTCGCCGACATTCGCTTCTTTCTCAAAAACCCTACCATTCTTCGCCCTGACCTCGCCTCTCGCAATCGCATCTGGTGCGTCTTCTGCGATTTCGATATCCACGAAACTGGCAACTCCTTCGCATGGTAAGATATAAAAAATAAAGAAATAATATTCAATTACTCAAATATTTTTTTATTTCATTATCTTCAGTATTTATTTTAATTTTCTGGTGTTTGTTATTTAATTTCTAGTGCAATTAACGTGTTTCTTCTTCTTCTTCTTCCTCCTCCTTTTCCTTTATGCTATAAAAAACAAATAGTGCTAAGGCGATTAGTCACTTGGCGAGTGAGGAACATTTGAAGAAATTGAAGCACTTTATGTGGAAATACGGTGGTGGAATGGATCGTGTCGATACTTTTCGGATTTCGGAAGCTGATGTAGCTAAGGTATCAGCCAAATTCGTTGTTCTATTCTAGATTGGGGTTGTGCTATTGGCTTTTTTTTAAGTATGAATAGATAGAATTGGTTTAAAAGTTTTGGATTACTTGACTAATTCGTTTTATGTTTCTTAAATGTCAGTGGGAGAAGAAGTGTGAAGCTTTGAGGAATGATGCGTCATCATATAGTGATGGATCACGAGGGATGCAAATCAGACCTTCAAATGATATCCGCGATGAACTCAGCCATGAAAATATAAATAGCTTTGAGAATAATAGTTTGGATAATGTTAATTTGAATATTTCAAATGGTGTTATGCCTTTACAGTATTATACGAATGAGTATCAGATATCCAATTCAGGATTCTCTGCAGCTAGGAATGTTGGACCATCCATGTATGGGGCTGTATCCACTTTGCCTGTCGGCGCAAGTTCTGCTACAAGTTTATGCAATTCAAACGATACAACGGGTAAGAATAAGCTGTTTATTTGATATCTCTTCCTTCAGTGAGGTAGTTCTGAATGGAGGTATATTGATACTAGTTCTGTTGCATGTCCCCTACGATTGAAATATGCAGGTAATTGGAATAGCCAACATTCTGTCCCTTATAACAGTATAAACTGTGCATCTAATCCTGTAAATGGAGAGGTGAGTTTGGTCCTTTACACTCTTTCTCAATGAAGCTCATTTCATTTTCTCCAAAATTTGTAGATTATTTTCTTCTTCTGGAACTTTTACTTGTGGCTGAAATTTTATGGTGAGATTTATCTTGTACCACATATGCAATTCATTAGTTAATTAACTGTTGGGTTTCTCTGGATTAGTTCTGGGGGAGATATGGTACATGGCTGGTGGTGCATTTGAATTTATGTTGATACCTATCTTTGAGTGTTGCATTTATTAGTTTTACTAGATAGGCTAAATATCTGTGGACGTTGTATGAGGGTGTGCAGCATTTTGGTGTACATCTTTTCATTAAGTGATTGTTCTAGTAGTCATATGAATGGTGACTGGATATGAAACTACTTGCACTTATCCATCTTTTCTGTTGTTTGTTGGCTTTGATAATCACAAAGCTGAATTAAGAGGAATCCTTTTTTCCACAAGTAGATTGAGAGGATTCTTTTTTCCCCTTCTACTTGTGGATACTATTTTTTGATCATTTAAATGAGGGTAAGGTGGAAATGTCAGGTGCATAGATCTTTTGAGATGTCATGGCCTACATGTATATTGACACTCTTAACCAGGATGATGATTTGTAAAAAATTTTGTAGGCGTTATCCATTTAGTGTTATGATGTGCAAATTTCCATGTTGTTTTATGTCATCTCCTTCTTCCTCATTTAATTGCATGCCTGCTGTAATCCAACTTCTAAATGCTGTCAAGGTTTTGTTTTTGCTTGATGCTCAGTGATGTCAAGGGCTTTCGGGAGGACTTTCATTTCTGCATGTACTTGTTTTGGTGTTAAAATGTGTAAACTTGTATTTGTTTGCTATGGCTGTGCCAGGTTTATCAGGATGAGAGAATTGGACATGGAGTGAGCAGTGTACAGGGTAATGATTTTTACATCTCATTTCCATTATTATTCTACTGTTATCATGGTTTGTACATATATAATTTGAATAGCATGGTGAATTGGGTACTGTTATCAGTGTTTTATTAGATGTCAAATCCTCATCTTGTAATTGTTCTGTTAGATTTGCAGAATATCCCTCAAGTTCCTGCTATTGCTCCACAATTGGCTGGAGGCACTCAAGTGCCTGCCTTGACCCCACAAATGGCTGGAGGAAATGTGCATACTGGAGCTCCTCCACCGTGGTTTGAAGGAACTGATACAAATCAACTAAATTTTCAACTAACACTTTCTAATAAATCTATGTCGATTTCAAATAAATCTGGGAAATCACATAAATTGAACCCAAAAAGGGTAGGAGCTGCTTGGGCAGAAAGGAGAAAGATTGAGATGGAGATGGAGAAGAGAGGAGAGGCTGTCAAGAGTGATTACAATGCTAACTGGCTTCCTGATTTTGGTAGAGTTTGGCAGTCTGGGAGCCGAAAGGAGTCTAGAAAAGAATTTGAGAAGGAGAAACAAAAATTATCCAGTGTTGAGATTGATACTGAGATGCCAATTATGATACAGCCATATATCAGCAAACGGATGGTAATCACTAAGCTCCAAGTTCTTGTGTGTATTATGCAGTTCATAATATGTCCTGTCTTTTCCATTTTCAGGCTTGACTCCTTTTGCGATGGCAATTGAATTATACATTTCATGTTTTGAACATCATTGCAATACGTTGTTTTCTTGTTACATGATTGTCCATGTTAATAGATATTGACATCTCTTCACATTTAAACTTGACTCAAGTTATTATGAGTTCTATAATAGGACACCAGTCTACTTCAGCATAATTTGATAAAAGAAAAATTGTAACCAGGCATTTGCAGATGGTCAAGTTATCATAGCTATTGGTCATTCCTCAAGACGTACCAGCAGTTCAGCTTTGTAGGTAGCAGTCTAGGCTAGTTTGAGGTGACATGCCTTGTTAAAACCTCTTCGCATATTGGGTTGATGGCATTGTATTTAAGTCTACATAAATTTCGTTGATTTAAATTTCATTGATTTGTGCATGTTATGATGGGCTTGTTGAAAATTAGTTTATTTTCTAATACGTTTATATTTTTTCTGCAACACAGAGGAAGGATGCAGGTAAATGATGGCTGCTGTAGGATCATCACAAGCTAAAAATGCTTCTGGTGACGATCATGATGGGAGGGTACTACCTGTTCCCACCTCAACATCAGATTTTGGACCTGAATGTATATATTTTTGCCAAAACAAGGAATCATTACAAACTTGAGCCCAGAAATGGTAAATCACCTGCTGGGTCCGTCTTGTAATCATGGTAATGTTAGATGTTGGGGTTGTTGATGCCCTTTTATTATACCTTAAATTACATTTAGCAGATATCTCATATTAGACATCAGATTCATTTTTTGTTCATGTCAACTTTTAATGTTCACCCATACGTTAAATTACATTTTGCGGAGCTTTCATGTTAGACATCAGATTCTTTTTTGTTCATGTCATTTTTTACTGTTCACCCTTGGAGGTAGTTTAGTTGGTGTTCTATCTACTGCTTTCAACCTTGCCACTACTTCCCTGTGTTCAGATATCAAAAAAGCAAACTATGGAACCCAAAACATCATGTATTTGTTTTTTTTTTTTTAAATATGGCTATTAGGTCACTTAATCTTCTAATAAGAGAGCTCTTTTCTTTAATTATGTAGAAACAGCTGTGGACAATGAGTCACGCAGCAAAACATAGTTCTTTTCCAACAGTGGTTTCATTGGGAAAAATCCATGAACAGTATTCAATTCTTGGCAATCCTACCTTAAACATGAATCAACTTTAAAACAATGAAGTTTGTTTATGATTGGCTGAAAATATTTTCCATGTTTGATGGAAAAGTGCTTGTATGTACTCTCTTTGTACTTTGAATTTGCTTCTCTACAAGAAGTTAGTGACTTGATGGTGTTTAGATGTTAGGCCTTTGATTGGCATGGCCTTTTTTTTATATAGATAAAAGATGTCATGACATCTGAAACAAGCTTAGCTATGTGCATGGAAAGAATGATCATGAACTGTACAGACTAGACTTCTTCACTGTGCGAATCAAAACCATCACTCTATAGCAACTGTTTGGTCTGAGCAGAATCCTGAAGAATTTGATTTACCTGGGATCCTAGAACTCCAATTTTCCTCTTTAAAGAATCAAGTTCACATCAGACAGAAATTCCCAGGAAAACCACTTCTCAATTGTCCTATCAACATCATGTACCGTTACATCTGTTGCATTCCCAGCTCTTGCTATCATACTAGCTGTGTAGATTGCCCCCATTCTGCCTGTTGCCTCTGGTGAGTGACCACTTGGTCCATCCACCACCACCACATTCCATTTAAGCTCATAAACTTCCTGGGGCAAGTTTTTCTATGCAAGTTTGCTCGATGAATTCTGGAGCATTTCTGTGCGTACAAGCTGGGCTTTTCCTTGCACATTCAAGCAGCTTGGAGGCCTTCTTTGCAGGTGTCTGGTAGTCAACCTTGTAGATTTGAGTGGTGTTGGATTTTTCTCTGGCTGCATTTATTTTGTCAGGATCATCCTTTCTAGAAAGATTGTGATGCCACCTGATCTGATGGACAGTTTCATGTACTGGGGCTGTGTTCCAAAAATAAGGAGGTTGCAGGGGGCTTTACATTTAATGAGATCAGATAAAAGTTTACGTTCCTTTTTTTTGTGAGAGTAGGTGCAATGGCAGAGATATTCTGTTCTGCTGTTTTACTGCTAGGTGTGTGAGATGCAACCTTGTCACGGGCGAAGGAGTAGAACACACGAGTTGTAGAGGAGGCAAAGCAGGCAATGGAGGGGCAGAAGATGAGTAGTGATTGCAATCCTAATAAGTCAGAGGATGGAGATGCTTGATAAAATGAAGAAAACAGCAGGTATAAGTATTTTTTCCAGGAATCGCCATACTCTTATTTCCTTTGAAATATTTGCTGTCAACGGGTAGATTGAATTGTGATTCAGGTGAGCTTGGAGGTGAAGACTTCACAAGAGTAGTAGCAAGAGAACACAGTGATGCGGTACTTTTCTGGGGGCATTTTTTTCCCTCTCCTAGTCCTTTCCTCGAAACTCCTGCTACAATCACATCTCCTAGCAAGGTATCGAACTGCTGGTGGGTTCATTTTTTATTTTTATCAAGTTTGCTATCGTATTACTCCTTTAAAATTTGAGTGAGGCAGGAGAAAAGGGTCTTTTGCTTCTGTTTCAAGTGTTACATTTTCTCTAATCGAGCTGTCAGCTTGTCACCTAATTGCTATGGTTAAGCGATGGAATTTACAAATCAAAGCTGCCCATATGTATAACTTGTGAAAAGAATAATGAGGGGTTGGTATTCAATCATTTTTTTGGGGGATGTTGACTTGGGTCTTTAAAGTTGTAGGATGCTGGTTCAAAGACTCATCTTTGTCACTTTTCTCTATTTGGGTTCGTTTGGTGCTTCATACGAGTGAGATTGAAGGAGGCAAAGGTGTAGTTACTAATTTGTTGGAGGGTCTTTTTCAATCAATTTTGACTTTGTGGGATGCACCAATGATTTTATATATAGTAGGTTGTTCATTCATGTGAAGGCCGGTGATAATAGGATGTGTGCTTTTTTGTATGCCAAATTCTAATTTGTCAATTCGATGCTAACATATCACAGCCTAGTCATTATTCATTAACAAATCTTTAAACGCTGCCGGGGAATCACTGTGAAAAAAAGACATATATATATATATATATATATTACACTTGCATTTCTTTTTTGTTGAAAAACAAATATACAGTAAACTAGTCAAATAGCTAGTACTATGTACTAAAAATGCCTAGGACAATCACCTCTTAGCACTTGTTTTATGTTCTTATTTTTTCTTTCAATTACATTCTTTTATAAATTAATTAATAGCTAGTAAACTATTTTGTCGAAATTTGTTAAGGATTAGAAAAATTCTATGATGGGGATTGAAGTGAAAAATATGGAGAAATATAATGTCTAATTTGAATTTCAGAAGTAAACTTCAGTATGCTTTTAAAAGTTTATTTTTAATTTTTTTTTCAGTATCTGATAGGAGAGATGAGAGAAAAAAATCATTATATTCCGGTTGAAGAGAGTTAAAGACATTGATTGGAACTGATTTTGGCCATAAAAAGAGCATTTTGGTGTTAACAATTTCTTTTTAATAAAAAGAGTTCTGTGTTATTTAGACTTCAACTTATTTAGAAAAATAGATCTTAACTTGTAAAAGTTTTGGAAATGAGGTTCATTTTTATTTTTTATTATGATTTTCTAGATTTTTATAGCCTTAAATGAGTGTATTTGATTTTTTTATAATGTTTTTTGAGTAAAAATGTTTAAAAAAAGAGTTTGAAGCTTGTTTATGTACTGAAAAATAATTGTTTTTGAAAGGTAGTTTTTTTTTAAAATAAATTCTTTGAAAGTGAATTTTTATATATATATATATTTGGTAGTGTTAAGAAAAACAAGTTGGAAAATATTTTCTAGTATTTGGTTATGCTATATAAATTGAGCTGAAAAATAACTTATTAATATTTTATAAATTGAGTTGAAAAATAACTTATTAATATTTTTTCAAGTTTATTAAAATAATGAGTAACAAATCTTATAAATTAAAAGGTTGAATGACAATGAAATTGAAAAAAAATAATATAATTATATAAATTATTTTAAATAAAATATCCAATTATATAAATTATTTTAAATAAAATAAATAACAATAAAAATAATAAAGATAAAATCTAACAGATAAAAAATTAAAAGATGATTAAATTAAAATAATAATAATAATAATAATTTTATAAATTATTTCAAATAAAATAAGTAATAATTAAAAGAATAAGGATAAAATTTGATAGATAAAAATTTTAATTAAAAAAATAATAAAATAAATAATAATTATAAAAATAAAAACTAATATTAATATAAAAATCAAATTCTAAGAGTTAAAATAAAAAAATAAAGATTTTAAACAAAATACATAGTAATTAGTAGTTTGAGGATGAAATTTGTTATCATCAATAATTAATATAATATTTTTAAATTTTTCAAATTTTTCATAATTTTTTATTTAAAATAAAAAAAATATTTTTTAAAAAATCAAACTAATTTTATTTAACTAAACAATATTTTTTATTAATAACTTTTTTTAATAATAAACAAATACAAAAAAAAATTTAATTTTTTTTTTCAATAAAAATGCCTTTTTGTCAGACTCATCTTCCCTGTTTTTCCGACCATTAATGTTGCAGGTGGAATCTGGGTTTACTCCAAGAAGACGACCTGTCCGTTTCTTTGTTTAAAACAATTGGTTTTGATTAAATCAAAATTGGGCGCGAAATGTTTAGCGAAGGTGTTTGTTCTGTCTGGTTAAAGGTTCGAATCACACTGTCGGCCTTTCCTTAATTTGCTTTCAATAACCCCATTGCAGCGTTACCGTCCAACAAATAGGGAAATGCATTTTTTTTTTGTCATTTTCAAACAAATAAAAATCTGAAACTATTTAATACATGCTAACAAGAAAAAAGAATATCAAGAAAATTATATAATTATAATTATAAATAAAAATTTGAAACTATGAAGTTTTTGGGATGTTAAAAAAAAAGTTTTGACATTAAATTGATGGTCAATTTAATATAATAAAAATTAATTTTATTGATTAAAAATAATAAAACTTTGGGAATCCTCTTCTTTTCTTCATTGTACATGAGGCTTGGCTCGTTTTAAAGTATTTTGATATTTAATTTTAATTTTTTATTAATTTTTTAAAATTTTATCACTTGATATTTATTTGACTTAAATAGAGTTTTTTTTATATAATTAAATTAAAAAATATATATATTATTAAATTTAATAAATCTATGACTTGGATTATAAATTTTATATGTTAAATCAAATTAATTTGTTGCATTGATTCAACATAAAAATAAATATTATTTTAAAAGTGTTTATATTAATTTTTTTTATCTAACTTGTAGGTGGAAAATGAGCTAGTTGCCCTTACTAGGGCTTTCTACGTGACTGTGTGAGAACAAGAATACTTGTACCATAACTCTGATTTATGTATAGCCATACATTTTTGCTCCAGAGGGCAGCCTATCAGCTGCGTATTAACTTGGGAGAAAGATATGAGACCCCTTTTTTTTTAGAAATCAGACCCGCAATTTCTAGAGGATACTGCAATCAATAGTAATTAAAAAAAAAAGATTATTAAAAAACCAGTTAAAAGTGATCATGGTTCACTATATACACAATTTATTTTAGTTATAATTAAGTTGTCTATAAGGTAATTTGATACATTAATAAATATTTGATATAATTTAGAAACTAAAGTTAGCTGGCGCGAGTAATATGAGAGGTACTCACTATTTTATGATAGTGTGTCCAACTTTTTTCAACATTTAAATAATAATTTTCATGACAGCATTGGAGGTGTGGAGACATCTTATTCTGTGTGGGGTAATGTAAGTTGTCATTTATGTGATCGTACATTACCAACGTTCTTTTTTCTTTTATTTCCCCTTAAAATTTACCCTGATTATTTAAAATTTTAAAGTTGTTATTTTATTTACTAATATTATAACTCTAGTTTTTATTTTTTAAATTTTTTTTATTGGCCTTTTATTAAATTTCAATTTATTTTTATTTTTTTCATTTAATCTATAATTGTGATTTGTTATTTTTTCAAATATAATTTTCATTCATTTGATTTTGATTTTTTTATTTTGAATCATTTTATAAATTTAATTTTTTTTTCAATTGTCTTCTTTAATTCAAAATTATAAGTTGTCATCTCATTTATTTATTTTTTTCAAATTTGGTCACCTTTATCTTAATTACTATTATTTTGTTTTGATTTTTTTTCTATGATTTTTTTAAATTTTATTTTTTAATATTTAATTTATTACTAATTGAGTTTTGTGATTATTTTAGATAAGGTGCTTCTGACTTAGTGACTTGAAAAAAACTAATATAGACAAATATCATTTTTTTATAGTTATTTTTTTAATTTCATCTTTTAACATTGTTTATGTTAAAAAATAAGCTCCATAAATTTCATTGATTGCCTTTCAATTAGGTTGTCTTGATCCTATAACCTAGACAACAAGTTTAGTCAATTAACTTAAGTATTTTTTATGGTTGTTTTTTTTTCTATATTTTTTTTTCAGTTTTATCATTTAAAATTAAGTTCATTTTTAAATTTAGATTCATTATTTACCCAATTTTTTCTTCTATTAAGTCACTTCATTCACAAGATATAATTTGCAAGGTATCATAGCTTTATACGGTGTTGATTTTTTGGGTTTCTTTTTATTGCAAGGTATCATAGCTTTACACGGTGTTGATTTTTTGGGTTTCTTTTTATTGATTGATATTTTTTTGATTTTATATTTTTACATTTGGATTGTTGGGAATTGATCACCATTATATTTGTTTTTCAATTTTCCTTCTATGAGGTTGTCTTAGACTTACGAATTAGATTACAAGTTTTCCATACTAGTTCGGGTTGACTCAAGATATTTTATTTTATTTATTTTTTAATTTTATGCTTTAACATTAAGTTATATTATAATTAAAATTTATAATTTATTTTCTATTTTGATAGACATTCCTTTTCTTCTAATCATCATTATCACATTTTATTTTGAAATTCGATACATTTATTGTTGTTATTTTATCTATCACATTATTGAGTTTCGTAAGGTTTATGACTCGAGTCATAATATTTTTTTTTAAATATGCTAATAATATCTTAACAATATTTTTTATATCATAGAAAAATCAAATATATTTTTGATAAAAATAAAGCGCGAGTCAACTATCTAAAAGCCTAAAACTCAAGAAATAAAGTATAATTTTTTAATATGTATACATATCTGCTAATACCACCTGTCCGATTAATTTCAAGTTGGTTTCGATGAATATATAGATCAGTAATTAATTTATTAATTTCAACTCCAGTACTTTGGAAGAGGGGTTTGATAATTTTGCAAGCAAGTTTAATCTACTGACATGGCGCGAATTTTTTTAGGTAGATAACAAAGTTTTCACCTGACAAAGGTAGTTTCAGTTCTTAAATTCAGTACCATAGAATTTATCTAAAGCACCAGGCCTCCTTTTTCACTGATTCACATACATTCTTAAAGTTTTTTTCTTATCATATTTTCATGATGTGTTGCCTTATTGTTTTCGCAAAACCAAAATATAATAAGTTGTGTAGCATGTAATTAGTTTCTTTCAGACCATGCATCAGGATTAAAGATCATCTAAGGCCCACTATAATCATTGTTAGTATTTATTAATTTTAACACATCTCACTGTATGGTATATAAAAAAAATCTTTCAAGCTCGAGGTGGAAAAGCCAACAACAATGGTTAGAAAATTCGAAGGGAAAGAGAGTGGGGAGGCCGGGATTTGTTCAAGTCTTGCAGTCCTTTTCAAGCTAAACTTCGAGAAAAGTCATATTCTAAATAACTCAATATTTGCTTAAGGATTCATTAAAAATGCATGGAGTGTCAAATGGAATGAAGGGAGTATTGTAATATTTAATTTTTCTGCAGTGGTATTCTTCAACAGAGTAGTTGGCTCAACTGAAACGGGGGACTGCGCATATGGCAGCAAATCTCAGCTAGCCTAGAAGCACAACATTTTCCACTGACTTCAAGTATAATCATGCAATTCGAGGAGATGTATCTTAAGGTCAATTTGCAAATTATAATATACTTTTCTTAGTACTTTGTCTCTATGGAAGTATTCTTTTCAGGCATCTAAGGGCGGCATGTTCTACTTCTATACCGGATTGGAATAAACCTTGTTCTTGGTTTCTTCAGCACCACGTCTAAAAGGGCCTCCAAGATCCTGCAATTTTCTGGAACAGTTATTCATTTAATCCATATACGAGCACAGGATGTGGCTTAGCTGACTGGCACCTGGAGCAGTAGCAGAAGACTACTGCCGACAGTAACTTGGCTGATATCAATATGCTCACATTGCTGCCTAAAGTTAACATACCAGTTTCTAATCATATTATCACCCTCAGGAATCAGGATAGCTACCTGCCGTTAAAAAAAAATTGTTGTTAAACAATGCCAAGTTCTAAAGAGGTTCATCAGAAACTTCTATAGAACTCATATACAATCCCTCTGCTGATTTACAAATTACAACAGGCTTGGCTTCAAAACAGGTTCTTAGGTTTAGGGTCTGCCTTCACACCACAGGACTCGAGTAGTTCAACACAACCAAGTCCTTCCTTGTTAACTAAAGGTTCTTAAATGGTCGCTTTCCATTGAATATTTAAAAATTTAGAGGATGATGTTTCATCCCAATTGAATATATTTTTGCCGTTTCTTGCCGCTCTAATATCATTTGAGAATTAAGTTTCTTTTTCTCCCTTCTGGCTATTTATCCTCGAGTCGGATTGATAGAGGCGTGGAAGTCGAGCTAAATTAAAGGTATAATCAAGGTTTGTTATATGCTAAATACTCATATTAACTAATGATCATATGGCATGTATTAATCTTTTATAAGATTAAAAAACCATGGTTAGAATACAAACTAGAAACCATCAACTGTTGATGGTTCCCAGTTTTGAGAACATTGCTCTTGTCATTGTCAGCATGCCTTTCGTATCGTGACTTATTTTTATCTTCTTTAATAGCTGACATTCATAACCAAGCTTGCAACAACAAATGTTTTAGTCAGTTTGGCTTGGTCTTCTCTTCAGAGCTGCCTCTAATTTCTTCCACCAAATCCCCTACTTGCTCCTTTTCCCAATGGTCACTTTTGGTTTCTTGAATACTACTAACTCGTTTCCTTTTTTGTTCTCGGAGGGTTTGACTACTTTGGTTTCTCATTCTTAGGCTCCCTTGGTCCTTTCTTTCCACGAATCTCTTTGTTTCATAATTTTTTCTTACTGATACGTACAGCAGTAAATTACCTGTGGTGTTCTTGTCTCCCAACCCCCCCGATCCCATGGGTAGGAACAATGAAGGAGAGGTTCTTTACAGTGCAGGATCTAAAGTTAAGTAACTTGTACTCTATAAAAAGTTGTCTAACCACAAAAAATGTTCAGGCATTCTTATTAAGGTTGACAAAAATCTAGGGCAGGATGGAAGGTCAAAAGAAAAAATCTCTTCTTGCATCTATAACCAAACCTGGAGTCAAAAATAGCAGACCAAGCAGTATGGTTGTGAAGGTATATTTCAATCTCTGAACAATCTAGATTATGTTTTCGTAGGGTTGTAATGCATATCTATCTAACTAGTTTTGGTTGTATACAGAAAGCACATACCGTAGTTCCTGCACATATCTTGGCAGAAGCCATATCGACAATTCATGGTCTTGACCTCAGATGGTCAGGTCCGATAACTACAACAGAAATGCAATATGTTGAGCAGTATGTCTTGGCGAAATACCCCCAATATGCTGGCTTTATCGGAGAGAAGGTTGATCTATCTACTCTTTGTATCAACGAGGAGATTTCAGAGCCTTCACCTGACGACAAGAATAAATCACCAATGGCTAGTCCGAGAGAGGTCTCCACACCATCCTTGGGAAGCAATCACCCTGACTTGGATAGAAACCAGTTAGAGCCATCAAGACTGCTTGATATTCTCACAGAGAAATCCTCATTTCCAGGGAGTTTCGTATCAATACCTGAGATTCAAGCCCAGCACAAAGTTATGAGGTACTGTGGATTACTCGATAATGAGTATCTTGTCCTATTCACTCAAAACTACAAAGATGCAATGATGTTAGTAGGGGAGAGCTACCCTTTCTTCAGAGGGAAATTCTACATGACTGCTATTGGGGAAGAAATGGATTATGTAAAGGAATTTGCCAGTTACAAGGAATCAAAAGTGATCCCGACACCAGAAACTTGGTTGGATTTGAGAATCAAGGGATCACAGCTCAGCCAGTATTTTAGAAGGAAGTGTAAGCACAGCCCTAAGGGGCTATTCTCATACCCAGCTGATGTGCACGGAACTCGTTATTCGATGCATTGGGTATCAGAAGCCCATCGGAACTCATGGCATGTTCTGCTAGACGCAACTGCACTTGTTGTGGGAAAGGATAGGTTGAATCTTGCACTTCACAGGCCTGACTTTGTGCTGTGCAGCCCTGACAATACCCCTACTAATCTTTCAACAATCACGTGCCTTCTTGTTAGGAAGAGATCTTTTGATACAATAACAGCTTCTTCTTAGCTTGAAGATTAAGAAGAGGTTTTTGTTTGTGATTTTTGAGCATGCTTAGACCGGTTAATTAAGCAAAGTCAATACATGTTTTCACCTTGGTGTCTGAAATCGGTAATCTGATTTCGTTAATTATAACCTGCCATTGAATTATCCTTCACTCTACGAATAATCCTAGATATCATTGAATAACCTTCACTCTTCGGAGGCGGAAGCATCTGAAAAAAGTCCACAACTCCAATAACCTTCACTCTTCGGAGGCGAAAGCATCTGAAAAAAGTCCACAACTCCAAAACTAAAATTTATAAAATGGAAAAAAAAAATACTTGTTTTTTTTCAGGAAGGTCCAAAGAAAAAAATGCAGGCACAAATGCCCATCCTGTGTCAAAACTCTACAATCCCCATGCTTCTTTCTTTGTGCTGCCACTTGATTTCTTTAGATTTCTCTAAGTTTCGTTCACAAATGCGTGCTGCTTTGTATTCAACTACGCATGGCCTTTCTTCTTCAAGTCCTTCATTGTCCTTCATTGTCTTCTTCTTCTTCTTTTAATTATGCCCATGCATAAACTAGCCGACTGTCATGCTTGCCATTTATTGTTCCAGGATTGTTATGCTATGGTTTTACTGAAATTCTATTTCCCATTGAAGCTTGCTTGTATTTACTTGACACTTCTAACCACCATTGCATTGAATGTGTTCCAAAAATGCTTCCCCCCCCCCACCTCAAAATTCCCAGCACTAATGCTAACTGTTGTGCTGGTGTCAAATCACATTCACTCTATGGTTATGAATCTGACAAAGCCAACCTAGAGAGTACTTGATTCTTGCAATCCCTATATCAAAAGATCAGAAAGCATCAAGATTATGTGCCTGGTCTGTAGCGATCAAAGATTTCTATGACGATTGTTTCTTCTCGCAATCCTCGCATGAAAAATATGACCAATCAAAGAAATTCTCTGAAAAATATGACTATCCTCTGTATCTGTCTGACCTCTTTGAAACCATGAAAGATGTGGAATCATCAAAACTAGGAGCCCAGATCAACACCATCTTGAGAATCAAACTGGCCTGTCATGCCAATAACATCATCAAACTGCTGAAGAACCAAACCCACTCCCAAGCTCAGAACTCAGTGCAGACAGGCCTAGACTGCTGCGCACAGCTGGACAGTCAAAAACTATACCTGTACCATCACGGCAATTCATGCCTTTCCAGGAACAAAATGTCCTGTAAATCAGCCAGTGCAGACATGGTACCAGCACCTCACCCCTGAGACATCTTCCTCTTTCAAACATAGCTGGAGGCAGGTTATCTACACACTGAAGTTCATATATTTAGACCCTGTCAAAGAAACTAAACCCACGTTAAATTTTATTGACCTACATAACACACATGAAACATACAGGTCCCATTTTACAAACAGAACGTGAAACATCCACGTCCCAATGTATAGACAGGACATAGTAGGTGGTCAAAACAAGCACACTCTACCTCGGAAAACCAGTCCTGCTTCTGTCAGCTGGCTCTTTCCGTTTTTACTACAGAGAGTTAGACCAGCAACACGTTTGAAGCTTCTTTAGCCATTTCCTATAAAGGACAATCACACCGCCTCTTTGACCATTAGCTTAACAGATCTTTTAGTCCCAAAATTTCCACAAAAAAAAAAAAGAAAAGAAAAGAAAGAAAGATAGGACAAGGAACAGAATGTTAGGAATAAAAATTATTTAAGACTCGATATTTATTACACTATAGCCATGATTTTTCATTAATTCAGGGAACTCGACCTCTCCTGTCTTAATGTCAACCAAAAGGTGCTGATATCATGTGTGTGTGTGTGTGTGTGTACAAGATATTAACAACTCAAATCTAATGTAATTTCAGAGTTTTGCATCATGTATATACACAATTCATAATATAAAAAACCAAAAGAAAGTTTCCAAGAAAGGCAGAAGAAAATTACCGCCATCAAAACTTGGAGGATCTAGCTTGAGAAAACTGATCAGGTCAGTACCTTGAACTTGCTGGGGATTCAAATGAGCAACTTGATCCCCTTGTTTCTTTTGTTTAGCCACAATATGAGCTAATTTCTGCACAACTTGAGTTACTCCATAAAATCCTTCAGCCAAAACATCCAATGATATACCTCCACTGGAGTTCTTCTTGTTCCTCATCCTTTGTTAGTTCTTTTCAAGATCTTTCCACTTCCACTTCCTGTACAGATTTTTCTGTGGACTTTTGACCTGGATTCCTTCTTGAAAATGATCAATAGACTTGTCCTTTTTAACTTCTTTGGTAAGTAAGGCAACTAATGACATCTTTTTTTTTTTTTTTTCATTTTAAACCCATATGAAATACATAATTACAAAGAAAATGATTCTAAAGACATCATTTCAATAATACTCATGTAGAAAATATGTACGAATCAACAAGAACATTTCAAAATTTGGCAAACTTAATGCTCTCGTAAATAACCATGGCTCAAACTATAACAGTTCTCAAACAAGAAGTTCAAATAACTCATTATACATATACACAATATTATGATCTCTAAACAACAACTCAAATCACAATCCCAATCTATTGTAATTACAGAGCCTTACATCATGTTTATAAACAATTCCCAATATGAAAAACCAAAAGAAAGTTTCCAAGAAAGACAAACGGCAAACGAGCAACAAATTAAATATATAACTCCTAGCCGCCAAGTGATTTTTCCCAGCTTTTAAATCTATAAGCCTGAAAGAAAGTAACTGCGGAAAATGATGAGTCTCAACAACTGAGTGATTCACCAATATAAATATATCCAACAGTGATAAAACCGAACATATTCACACACACATAATGATTTAATTAGTAACTTTCATACCATTTCATAACCCATTACAACATATACATTATCCACCATCACACACCATGTACGAACTCATCGCACAGTGTATAACCCAACATCACACCTTCCACAGTGTACCATCTTCCTTGAAAAATAGCGTGTATACATAGAGGATGTCAAGTTCGGCTTGGATGGCCCAATTTCCTTTCTTTCTTCTTCTCTCTCTTTTCTTTTTTATTCTCTTGATTTTCGCACATAACTCTCTCTAAAATTATAAAGTTGTCTTCATTTGTTTTTGGATGTCAATGTTGGAATTTTTTTTAATTTTATTTTTTTATATTAAGGATAATATAAATTATTATTATTTTTTGTTTGCTTGCTATTATTTTATCTTGATATTATAATTTGAACCATAGATTTAATAGGTTAATTTAAGTTATTTCAATTTTTTTTATTTTTTTTATTAATTTTATTATTCAACATTATATTATTTGAGAATTGATCTATTGATTTTTTATTATTTTCTATGATGTTATCTTAATATTGTAGTTTGGATCACAGGTTTCCGTATTAACTTGAGTTTTTTATAATTTTTCTTAATTTATTATCTTTTTTAGAATTGATTTTTCTTTAATTTCATCATTTAATATTTTATTAATTAAAGATTGAGTATTATAATTTGTTTTGATTTATTTTTTATAAGATTATTATCATTAGAATTAATTTTTCTTTAATTTTACCATTTAATATTTTATTAATTAAAAATTGAGTATTATAACTTGTTTCGATTTATTTTTTATAAGATTACATCATCTTATGACTTTGATCGTAAATTTAATAGGTTATTCTAAAATAACATGGATCTATTTAAGTATTTTTTTAAAAAATAAATGTTATCTAATATATTACATAATTATTATTTAGAGAGAAAAAAAAGTTTCCCAATGTACACTAGAAAACAAACACTTTAGGAGTATATATATAATTTTTTAGCTAAAAAAACTGATTTGATCAGTGTAAGATGTAATCTAGTTTTGTAATAAGAATCTATGTATTCATTCTTGTACCAAAATGCCAGGCCCCACACTGAAACATGTAATCAAATAAATATATTTAGTTGATCATAGAGAGAACCATTTGCAGCATCTAAGAAGACAAACGTTGTGGACCGTTCTGCAGAAGCAACTCCTAAACGACTTTTATAAACTTGAACTGTCACAATATCAATGGAGTAAAAACTCACAGCCCGAAACCATGAATGAATCAAAACACGACTAAATTGGCACTAGCAAGCAATTCAGGAGAATCAAGAGAAATCCTACCACCCTCCGAGGCCCCGTCTGTTTTTCGAAGACGGCAAGCTAGCACCTATGCGCGAATTATTGGAATCGCATACACAAAGAGCACCCTGATATCTTCAAATTGTCCTTTTCTCCTGCAAGACAATTCATTTTATGCAACCTAGCCATTCTAGCCCTGCAATACATCATATGACTAGCCCATGGTATCCCATAGACGTGTCTGACAAATCTCTTTGATCATGCAGCTCAAATCAAACCATGGAAAAAAGGAAACGAGAATGGAAAAAACACAACAAAACACGACCAGATTTGCACTAACAAGCAATCAATGGCTTACAATACTAATGAATTATAGAAAAAAAAAAAAAAACCTGGGAAGGAATAAATTACAATACTCATGAATATAGAAAAATGGAAAACGATCAGATCTCTCTATTAAAACCTATGAAAAGGTATGCCGGGAGAATGAAATGCATCAACTAACTAAGCAACAGCAGTAACAAACAAATTGGTGCCACACGACGAATACCTGGAATCGTAAAATATGGCTGTAAGGAAATCTGCATGTGAATTTATGAGTGCTTGCAGAGGCTTATTGTCAGAAGGAACGAGATTCACTTATCCTTCCGTCTTCATTCTACTGTATAGATATATTCATTAAGCCTGGATCAAATACCCTGCAAAGTTAGAGACTATTTTTCCTCTGGCTCACGAACTTCTACACAGGGTTCGTACCTCATACACTTGATAAGCAAGAAAGCCTGTCACCTGACATGAAAACCTACCACCTTTTGCCATGTGAACTCACAAGTGATGACAATTACAGAGAATCAAAGTAAATCAGTTTAACCGGACAAGAATCATCTCACTCAATTCAAGATCCACCACTGGATAGAGTTTCATCCAGTGATCACTAAACCTACATATGCACAAGCTCATTGAAAAGTGCCAATTTATTGAATATATAAAATCTCAAAACAAGATTCAAATATAGGTCCCCATAACGGACACAGCGTGGAATAACACAGGACATACATCTAATTTTTTAAAAACATAGCTGTTGCAGAGGAAGATCAGTACTTCGTTCTTC